ATATGTTCTCAACTTCGTTGCAACTTATTGAAGAAATATTGTTCCTGCTTTGGCAGCACATACACTAAAATTGGAACATACAAGAAGATTAGCATGGCCCCTGTGCAAGGATGACAGGCAAATTCATGAAGCATTCCTTATTTTTAAAACAAAACAAAACATTGTTATTAAAGGCATTTGCAAGAAAAACTTAGAAATATTGTTGTATCTCCTTTCTCTGGTCTCAAACTTATTACTAATCATTACTTTCCAAAAGATAAATTTGAAGCATTAAAAAAGAATCAGATAAAAGAAGGATTTGACTTACAAAATCTTGAAACAATATTTAATTTTAATTTTAATCTGTACGTATATTCTTAGATACTCCTCCCTTCCAGAGGTGGAGCTTAATTCCCTCCTCTTGAGTGTGGGCTGCACTTAATGACTCACTGCTAACTGATAGAGTAAGGCTGATGGAATGGCGTGTGACTCTGGGTCTAGGACATAAAACACATTGCAGCTTCCATCTTGGTTGCTCTCTCTCTCAGATTGCTTGCTCTGGGGGAAGCCAGCTGCTATGCCATAAGCAGCCCTATGGAAAGGTCCATGTGGCTAGAAACTGAGGCCTCTTCCAACAGCCATATGAGTGAGCCATATTTCATGGGAATCCCCCACCCCTGGTTGAGCCATCAGATGATGCAGCCCTGGCTGACAACTTGACTGCAATCTTGAGAGAGGCCCTGAGCCAGAAAAACTCAGGTAAACCTCTCCTGGATTCTTGATCATCAGAAACCACGAGATAATAAATGTTTGTTGCTTTGAGCAGCTAAGTTTTGAGTAACTTGTTATGCAGCAGTAGATAACTAATATAGTGTCTAAGGAGGAAAATGAATTATTGCACTTTAATTTTCATTTGCTCTAAATTAACTATAAGATATTAAATGTGTCATTTGGTTTTAAGATTTAAGGAGAATTTTCATGGCTAACAGGATGCATTTTATAACCATTCACAATGATTATTTACTTAAACTTCAATTTCCAACTGGGACCTAATTAAACAGAAAAGGAAGAACCAGGCCAAGCTAGCTTGATTCTGTGAAGAACCCTAATAACCATCCCCTGGTTATTCACCTTCCCCCCGGTTAGTCAGACATTAACGTAGGTGCTGTTGTGAAGGGATTTTGTAGATGTAATGAAGGTCTCAAATCAGTTGACCTTAAGACATGGGGATTTCCCTGGGTTGGACTGTTCTAATCAGGTGAGTCCTTAGAAGGAGTGGGTTCTTCCTGAGCAGAGACACAAAGTGTGAGCAGGATTCAATGCGAAGATGGTTCTCCATTGTTGGCTTTGCAAATGGAGGGCCACGTGACAAAGAATGCTGGTGGCCACTAGGAGGTGGGACCAGCACCCATTGCCCCTCTGCCAGGCAGCAAGGAAACAGGGACCTCAGTCCTATAACTGTACGAAACAGAATTCTGCAACAGCTCTGTATGAGCTTGAAGGGGGATCCCGCCTCAAGATGGGAACCCAGCTTTGTGAGGCCCTGAACAGAGAACCCACGCATATCATGCCTGGATTTCTGACTAAGGAACAGTAAACAAATAAATGGGTGTTGTTTTGAGCCACTACGTCATGGTAATTTGTTATGCAGTAATAGAAACTAATGCACAGGTTCACTGTGCAATACATAAGCACACAGCACCTTTTCCAGTGGAGTGAATTTATGAACCGATATGCACACTAGTTGCATGGAATAAAATCTTTCCTACATTTTTTTGTATTTTTAATTTTCTGATTTGTACATAATGCAATTAAATTTAAAAAAATCATATTTTGGGGTCGGCCCAGTGGCATAGTGGTTAAGTTTGCGTGCTCCGCTTCAGCGGCCCACGGTTTGCAGTTTCAGATCCTGGGTGCAGACCTGTGCACCGCTCATCAAGCCATGCTGTGGCAGGTGTCCCATATGAAACAGAGGAAGATGGGCACAGATGTTAGCTCAGGGCCAATCTTCCTTACCAAAAAAAAAAAAAAACCCCAAAAACATATTTCATTCAATCATTCAAAAACAACTAATTTAATGTCTACTATGTACCAGGAACAGCATTATATGCTGGGGATACAACTTTGACCCAAACAGCCCAAATCCCCAGTGCTCATGTACCTTACATTCCAGAGGCTTCCCAAGAGTGAGATGGAGTTGTTGGAGTGTTTTAGTGAAGAAATGACACATCCTGACTCACATTAGCAGGATCGCTGACCCCTGTGGGGAGAAAAGTCCATGTGGCCCTGGTGCCACAATTCAGTAGTGAGAGGATATGGAGACTAGGGGAAAAGAGGGGCTGAGGGTGACAGGGACAGAGAGAAGGGCTGGAGAAGCAGGAGTGAGGAAAAGAAGCAGAGGTAAAGAATTCTAAAGCAGTGGAATCCTCAGATTTAAACATATGTATTGTTTTATAGATCTTTAATAAATATATTACAGACCTAGTAGAGTATTCTTGGTATTTAATGCATTCTGCAGAGCTGCCCAAAAACCAATTGCCTCCTTATGTTAATCTGTTTAAAAAATAACACAGTGTCTTGACAAAATATGCACACTGCTTAAATGTGAATAACTCATAAAAATAGGTAATGCATGAGCACTGGTGAAGTGCATTTTGACTGCATTGAATACCTTCAACTTTGAGGTGATTAAAGTTTATACCTGCTCCTAGTTGAAATACACAGTAACAAACTCTGCCACCATTTGCTTCTTTGTACTGAGGATACCTCTGGACTAACACAAACACACTCAGGGCTACGGAAGGAAGATTGTTTTAAACACAACAACCTGGAGTCACAGATATACTGGAAAGTAAATCTTAGGAGCTTTGTGAGTCTGATTGCAGTGCTGTGTAGACTTAACATTTCTGTATGAAAGGGCCGAAATCACTTCTTTTCCAGGTTAGATTCCTGATGTTCAGGGTTTTCAAGATTGTTACCCACTGTAGTTAATGAACAAAAAGGAACCTGGTCTCGATGAAAACCTTCTCTACCTGGTGTCCCTCCCCCTCATCAAGTGAGTTTTTTTCTGGAAGAGTGGGAAAAGGGGTTTAGCTGGGGGGGGGGTCTCCCCCTGGTTTCCTCAGACAGCCCCTGGTCCAGGACTCAGGGAGACAGCGTGATAAAGAGCTCTCGGGGCAGGAGGAGAGGGGTCAGGGCAAAGTCCCAGGTCCCCGGACGTGGCTCTCAGGATCTCAGCCCGAGGTCGGTGTCTGGGGTGGGGAAGCTCAGTGTTGGGGAGTCCCCATCTCCCTGAGTTTCACTTCTCCCTCTCACAATCTGTGTCAGGGCCTCCCGCCTGGAGACTCATGACGCGGCCCCAGTTCTCACTCCCATTGCGTGTCCGGTTTCTAGAGAAACCAATCAGCGTCCTGTGGTCCTTTGGCCGCGCACCTCGGTCTGCCGTCCGCGGTCCGTCGTGGGCGGCGGCCTCCGCGTTTCCCGGATTCTCCCCAGACCCCGGGAGTATGCGGGTCACGGCGTCCCAAACTCTCCTCCTGCTGCTCTCGGGGGCCCTGGCCCTAAAGGCGGGTGAGTGCGGGGTCGGGAGGAAACGGCCTCTGTAGGTGGCTGAGTGAGTGGACCATCTCCTTGAACACCAGACACGCCCCCTCACCCCCCGCCTGGTCCTGCCGGGTCTCAGCCCCTCCCCGCCCACAGGCTTCCACTCCCTGAGGTATTTCCACACCGCCGTGTCCCGGCCCGGCCGCGGGGAGCCCCGCTTCATTTCTGTCGGCTACGTGGACGACACGCAGTTCGTGCGGTTCGACAGCGACGCCGCGAGTCCCAGGGAGGAGCCGCGGGCGCCGTGGATGGAGCAGGAGGGGCCGGAGTATTGGGAGCGGAACACGCAGATCTACAAGGACACCGCACAGACTTTCCGAGTGGACCTGAACACCCTGCGCGGCTACTACAACCGGAGCGAGGCCGGTGAGCGACGCGGGCCCGGGTCCAGGTCCAGGTCATGACCCCTGGGGTCTCGTTTCCCGGTCGAGATTCACCCCCGGTCCCGGTCCCTAGCCCAACCTCCCCCGGCCCTGGGAAGGGCTGGCGGTCCCGGCGGTCCCCAGGGCTTCTTTTGTTTTGAGGGATTGGCCCCGCGCCAACAATGTTGGCAATTGCCTCTATCTGTATGTCCGCGCCCAGGATCTGAACGGGCGAACCCCGGGACCGCTGCCGCAGCAGAAAGCGCAAACTTAACCGCTGCGCCACTGGGCCTTCCCTTGCGATTTCATTGTTTGTTTAGGTTTCATCACTGCGGGTCTACAGGGCGGGGCCGAGTGGGCGGGGCTGACCGCAGGGGCGGGGCCAGGGTCTCACACCATCCAGTGGATGTACGGCTGCGACGTGGCACCGGACGGGCGCCTCCTCCGCGGATACAGTCAGGAAGCCTACGATGGCAAAGATTACATCTCCCTGAACGAGGACCTGCGCTCCTGGACCGCGGCGGACACAGCGGCTCAGATCACCCGGCGCAAGTGGGAGGCTGCCGGTGTGGCGGAGGACTACAGGAACTATCTGGAGGGCACCTGCGTGGAGTCGCTCCTCAGCTACGTGGAGAAAGGGAAGGAGACCCTGCAGCGCAGGGGTAAGAGGGGCCTCGGGGCCTCGGGTTGGTGACCTCCTACAAGGAGAGGAGGAAAATGGGATCCACACGTGAATTCGCCTATCCCGTGGGTCAGAGACTGAGTCCGCCTGGGTTTTCAGATCCGGTACCAGAGAGAGACTGGCCCAGAGGACTCACTCGCTTTTCTTTCAAGGTCAGTTCGGGGATGCTATGTCTCCATGGATGGAGAGGGAAGCCATCCCTGAAATAACTGATGAGTAGTTCTGTTTGACTCCAGCAGCAGCTCTGGGACTTTCTCTCTCAGGCCTTGTTCTCTGCCTCACACCCAAGGTGCTTGATGTCTGACTCCAACTTTTGTGAGTCACTCGGCCTCCACCCGAGTGAGGACCAGAAGTCCGTTTTCTCCGCTTTGGAGACCTGCCTTCCCTCCTGGGCTTTCTCATTGTGATTCTGGAACTTTCCGAAAAATAGAGGTTATCTCAGAAGCCTGTGTTCAGCCTAGTGTCTGGGTTTTGTGCTCCCTTCCCCCACTCCAGCTGTCCTGTCCATTCTCAGGATGGTCACTTGAGTTCTGCTTCAGTTGCCCAAGACAGATGTAAAGTTCCTGAATTTTCTGATTCTTCTCCTCAGACGCCCCAGAGACATATGTGACCAACCACCCCATCTCTGACCTTGAGGTCACCCTGAGGTGCTGGGCTTTGGGCTTCTACCCTGCGGAGATCACTCTGACCTGGCAGCGGGACGGGGAGGACCTGACCCAGGACACCGAGTTTGTGGAGACCAGGCCTGCAGGAGACGGGACCTTCCAGAAGTGGGTGGCTGTGGTGGTGCCTTCTGGAGAGGAGCGGAGATACACGTGCCATGTGCAGCATGAGGGGCTGCCTGAGCCCCTCACACTGAGATGGGGTAACGAGGGAGACGTGGGCTCAGAGCCTCTTCTCAGCGATATCAGGAGCCCTTTTGGAGAACTCAGCAGGGTCAGGACTGAGGCCTGGGGGTCAGGGCCCTCCCCTTTCCTTCCCTTCCCAGGGCCACCTCTTCAGTCCACCATCCGCATTGTAGTCATCATTGCTGGCCTGGGTCTCTGTGTGGTCACTGAAGCTGTGGTGGTTGGAGCTGTGATCTGGAGGAAGAAGCATTCAGGTAGGGAAGGGATGTGGTCTTCTTGTCCCACTGAGGGGTTTCAAGCTCAGATAGAAGTTTGCCCTTCCCTTGATAGGAAGTCCCATCCACAGGCACATAGGCTTTCCTCATCTGGCCTTGTTTGCCTTATTTGCTAACACTTACTCTTTAGTAAAGCACATATGAAAATGAAGGAAATATTTATCACCTTGTTGAGTCTGGTGATGGGGATGTGATTCCCAGCAGTCACAGGTCAGAGGGGAATGTCACTGCTGAGGACATACCTCCAGGAGGGCAGTTGGTCCGGTCCCCATACATGTACTTTCCTCATGTTTCCTGTTCCTGCCTTGGGTCTGTAATCACAGTTCTGGAAACTTCTCTGGAATCTAGGACTAGGGAGTTCCTTAGGGCCTCATGGCCCTGCCTCTTTTCTGGCTTCTCACAGGATGTTTTCTTCCCACAGGTGAACAAGGAGGGAGCTACACTCACGCTGCAAGTAAGTATGGGAGGGCAGTGATCTCTAAGACCCTTGTGGTAGTGTAGATGGGAGCCCATGGGGGAGCTCACCCACCCCAAAGTTGTTTCTTTGGTTTCATTACCTGTGGGCTCTGACCACATCCTGTTTTGTTCTACCCCAGGCAACAACAGTGCACTGGGTTCTGGTGTGTCTCTCACAGCAGGTGAGACTCTAGAGAGTCTGAAGTGGGGAGAGTTTGGGGGCAGAGAGGCACAACTGGATTACGGGAATTCTTTGGCTAGGACATTCTGAGCATACAGTGGGCTGTTCAGAATTTCACCAATTACAGCGACTGACTTAAATTTGTTCATGATTATTTTCTTCTATAGCCTGAGACAGCTGCCTTGTGGGGGACTGAGTGATGCAAGATTTGTTCACGTCCCACCGCCCATTGTGACTTCAAGAACCTCTGACTTTTCTTTCTGCACACAGAAACCCCCTCTGCACCCCACAACCCCCTCCCCACACTGACCTGTGTTTTCCTCCCCCATTGACTTTCTTGTTCCAGCAGAGGCAGGGCTGAGCCGTCTCCATCCCCTCTGAACTTTGTGTTGCGCTGAGCTGCACCTTCTTACTTCCTTATTGAAAATAAGAATCTGGATAGAAGGGTTTTTTTTTTCCTTGAAATTCTTTCCATGAGAGATTGATGGGTTAATTAAAGGAGAAGGTTCCTAAGATTTGAGAGATGAAATAAATGGAAGCACTGAGAACTTCCAGACACTGATCATTCATTCACCTGCTATTGGTTGTGTGCCAGATATATGACACAGTATTTTTGCATCTGGGAAACATCACTGAAGTAAAAACAGACAGAAGTTGCTGGCCTTGTGAAGCGTATGGTGTTGTGGGAAGAGACAGACTATATACTGCAAGCATGTTAAATAAGGAATGTGTTTATGTTAGGAGGTGGTAAGTGCTATGGGAAAAAAACAAAGAGTAGGAAAGGTGATCCAGAGGGTGGGGATGGGGACAGGGAAGATGGCTGTTTTCATTTGGGTGGTCAGTGTGGGCCTCATTGGGAAGGTGACCTTTGAGGAAAGATGTGAAGGACATAAGGAATTCTCCACGAGGATGTCTGGGGGAAGTTCTTTCCAGGCAGGGGAACCTCCAGTGTAAATGCGCTAGGGCAGGAGTGTGTCTGTGTGTTCTGGGAAGAGCGAGGAGGCCAGTAAGGCTGGAGTAGAGAGTAAATAAGATGAGATAGAGGTGCGGCCAGACTGTGTAGGCCTGGAGGGTGTTAGAAGGGCTTTGGCCTT